AAAAAAAAAAAAGCAAATGTTTCTGTTAAGTTGTCTAACATTAGGCGGTTAATTTTTTTTTTTAAATAAAAAATGCATACTTATATTATGAAAAAAATGCATCGCCACTTACACGGTAGCATCAAATTTACGGTTCAAACAGGACAATTGGTCTCAATTTTATCTGCAAATTTGATCAATTTATAATTAAATTGATATAGGAACAAATGTAAAATGAACAATTGTAGAACAACCTTTTAGTGCAGCCTCACAAAAAATACAACTCGACTCGTTTATCGATATTAACAAGACGAATTGTAGAAATTATATAAGTATTATCGTTTTGAGTCTCAACAAAGTTTTATCGGGCCGATCCGAGTCTGGCTCGTTAACAACACGAGCTTTAAACGAGTTTGAGCTCGGCTCGATCGTGAGCCGAACTCGCTGCGGTGCGGCTTTGATAAGTATTTTCTTATTGCACGGGTTATGTAAATAGTTAGGTTTGTAAAATGAGTCTGGTAGATAGTGATTTGTATATATATATTTATTTTAGAAGTGTAATCTTGTCATATTATTTTACTAATCTTTCTCTAACTAAAAAGTTCATTTATATATATATTAAACTTTTTCATAATTAGCGTTTTCGCTAAGGAAGCTAATAAAAAAAGCTACACTACCAAATGAGTCTAGTTCAAGGTCAAATTGGTCAACTGATAAAGATGTTTAAAATCTTTAATCTAATTATTTCTTTTCCTCTTTAGATGCACGGGGATTTCGTAATGTAAAATATTTTTGTAAAACTTTATTTTAACAATGTATTAGCCTGTTGATCCGTCTATATTAATATAAATAACATTCTAACATATATATTTATTTTTTAATACAAAAAAAATAAGAATTTTACATATTTTGGTTCATCATAATACTCAAATATTACTTTATTAAAAAATTTATTGTCGTATAATGTCAATATCATTTATACCATTTATAGAAGTAATATTTTTTAATATAATGGTAAATATTTAATGTATGTTAATATTATTTATTGATGTGATTAATTTAAAAATATATAAGTAAATCTAATGTTTGTTAGGAATATGATAAATCTTGATATTTTAGATACAAATATATGATATATATACATATGTGTGTACAAATATATGATATAATATCTTGAGATACAAAAGAAATTTTTATGTGATTTATTACTTTAATTAATCATCCCAATTACCTAAATTGTATTTTTAAAACATAACATAAAATGTTTAAAAGTTTCCAGAATTAGTAAACAATATTTTTTTGCGTGAAATAGTTACTATTTAAAAAATAATCAAACCTTTATATATATATATATATATATATATATAGATAGATTACTATTATTATTATTATTATTATTATTATTATTATTATTATTATTATTATTATTATTATTATTATTATTATTGTTATTATAGAGTTGTTAAGAAATTTATTAATTTATTACTTCGTTAGGATTCTCGTCTTGTTAGACAAGTTAGCATTGTTAGGATTCTTGTCTTGTTGGACAAATTAGTATTAGAGTTTTAGGAGCCTTATTTAAAGGACTCCTCCTCTTTTGTGTTATTCAGTTGATTATTGAAATGAAATAAGATTAGATATTGTGAGTTTTGCATGTTTTACGAGAGAGTATCTCATTTACTCGTTTATCATGTTTATCCTAGGGGTGTTCACGGCCCGGTTTTAACCGAAAAAACCGTCAATCCGGACCGCGGAACGGTTAAATGGTCGGTTAAAAAAAACCTAATTCGGTGGTTATTTTAATTAAAATCCAGAATAATCGGTCCGGTTAACGGATTACCTGCAGCAAATCGTCGGTTTAACCGGACCGGACCGGTAATATTAAAAAACTATAACAAATTATATATATATATATACATTCAGTCATTCACTATGACCGACAAATACAATACATTACATTCGCTTTTTGGCCTTTTGTTGACTTAATTTTGTAAGACATTATAACTTTTCACATTTTCCCACCTTTGTTTTTTTATTTTCAGATTTTTCCACCTTCTCTTCCTAATTTTTCAAGACGCAATGTGTATTTTTATGCTTATGGGACGAATTGTGTACTTTTTATTTCATTATTGTTGTTTTTTAGGCCCAAATAATCTCTTTTCGGTCCAAAATTAAAAAATAAAAATTAAGCCCAAAATAAAAAAATAAAAAATAAAAAATAAAAATTGAAGGCCCAAAACAAGGATTTTGGATTTAACCGATTACCCTCCAAACCGGACCATCCAATGCGGTCCGGATTGTGGCCGATTAAAAAATAAAACCGGTCCGGTTATGAACAAGAAAAAAAGTAACCGTTAGGTCTGGTTTGGGATAAAACTGGACCAATTCGAATCGTGAACACCCCTAGTTTATCATTCTCACTCGTACGCTTCCCCACATCATCAACCAATTCTTACTTTCACGGTCCACGTGGGGCCAGGCTGCATTATCGTGAATCACATCGCGTATGTGATTTTTGGGAGATGCTACCATCTCGTTACGGATAATTCTGTTGTTTTTTGTAGTCGTAGATATAAATGTAATCTAGTAATATGTAGATAATCTACGCTTAAAAAATACAACGGAACCATCCCGTAGCATTCTCATTTGATTTTCTTCTAATCCTTCACTACTAAAGGAAAACCCATCGGAATTCCAAGGAAACTTGAGAAAGCTTGCGAGGAGAAGTAACAAGGAATTTACTGAGATGGGACATTATGCAATTAATAATGCGCATTTTGTGAGGAAAATTGCTACTTTGTAACGACTTTGTCCAATTTCTTGCTGGTTTCCCTGTGTGAAAAAAGACATGGAAAATTTTTAAGTCTTCTCACTTTAGGACTCCAATGTTGAGTTTTTCTACTAGGTCATGATTATTTAATATGATTTTTTTTTTAAAAAAAAATAATAAATAAATAAAATTGTTCATCACTTTATAAGTGGAATTGTGAAATAATTTATAAACTAGTACTAATATCCAGGTATAATATGAGTGTTGAGTTAATGAATATATGTGTAAAATTATTTATGTCTAATACCAAACCTAACTCCAGAGCAAAAATAATATAAAAACATCACGAAGCATAAATTTTCGTCATGTCAGCATTCGAAGCGTGAGAATTTGCCACTTAAGCTCAACACGTTTTGAATTAATATATAAGGATGGATATACAAAAAAATATTCATTTGATATCAATCTCAATTTCTTTTTCTACAATTCCACCAAAATACTTAAAGAGTAAATGATATTATTATCCATCATGAAAATAATATATAAATCATTATCGATATTTCTGTAACATTATTTTTAATCATTATATTTTTCGCTTCTATCCATTCAAAATATTAAAATTATTCTCTCTTTTTTTTTAATCTCTATTATGGAACTAGATAATTTTCTGAAAATTTGATACAAAAAAAGTTTTTCAGTCAAGAATAAGTTGAACTTCATAAAAGTCCAAACATAGAAAAGAAAATATCTCAAATAATTGGTTGTTTTTAGAATTGTATTGCTAAACACCGCTCCCTTTTTACTACCAACCGTCATTCCTTTGACCATTTTGCCCCTGACATTCTTTTAAAAAAACCAAAAAAAAAGAAAAAAAAAAAAACCACGGCCATGCATTTGGTTAAATGCAAGCCTCATTGGACCGTTTTGCTCCTGACATTCAATTTTTTTTAAAAAAAATAAACCACGGCCATGCGTTTGGTTAAATTCAAGGACTGTTTTCATGTGTTATAAGCCCGACTAAACCTGCAATCATGTTATCCCGTGGACCCAAACGTTATCATGCGTTTGGTTAAATACAAGGACTGTTTTACTGTGTTATATTGTACACTACCATCTTATCTTACTTCATATATATGGCATCTGTACATAAAGTCTAATTTCTTAAACCCAAACTTATATATGCCTGTGAGATACCATAAACTAAGTTCAAATAAGTTCAAAAAATAAAAAAAATAAATAAAAAAATAAAAATCATAAGATTTCATATCTTTATAATTCAAACTCAACATTCAGAATCAAAATAATTTTTTTTGGTGAAAATTTAATTTTAATTTAATAATTTCAACACAATACATATCTTTTTTATGTTGATGAGAACTTATTAAATGACATTTCTTTAGACAATCAATTAGCAAAGTTCAAAAGATGTAATTATACTAAAAATGGAGTAAAATTCAACATTCAAAAACCCAAAAATCCAACTAAATACTTAGGGCATCCGCAACGGGCATTAATTTGCCCCGTTTAAATG